AGAGCCCACAACTGGTGTCACATCTCTCTGCTGATCTGGCTGGTGAAGACACAACTAAGCATGATCCTACCACCCCCAGTCAACAACATCAATGTGTGCATTAAGACTGCACTCTTAGTCCCATATCAAAACTTAACACAGATTTGCAAATCCTTATTTTGCCTGATGACCAAACAAATTAACAAACTTAGATGTTTTGAGGTTTTTAGGAAGACTGAACCCGAAGTGATATTGTGCACAGGAATTTAGCCTGGGTCTTCTCCAAGGCAAAGATTGGGAATCTGTAGCCCTCCAAATGCTGTTGGACCCCAACTCCCATCATCCCTGACCAAAGGCCTTGCTTCTAGGGCTAGGAGGAGCTGGAGTCCAATAACATACAGAGGTCCACAGATTCCACATCTCACTGTAAGGTCCAGTTTACAAGTAAAACTGGCATTCCAGCTGGCCCTGCAAGCCCCACCTATGTGAGGGCCTCTCTCCTTCTATGAACATGTAACCAAATGGTTCAGGCTAGGTAAAACCACTACTGGGGAACCGCTTGAAAATGAAGAGTGTCCTGAAAGCTGATATAATTAACATGAACCACAAAGGTGCTTCTTCATCAAAGAGACTAGTTAGATGGAATGGCAACAGCAGGCCAGTATTTTAACCAATGAGGCTCAGTTTGGTGAGCTCTTATTAAGCATTTTGGCATTAATGACGTCTATCTGGACCAAGGTTTAAAGAAAACAAGATGATTTATTTCTTGTTTGGGAGAAGAGTTTGGCCAGTGCTGATTTTTCTTTTCAAGTTAGCTATTTATTTCAATACCTAAAACACAACATATTCACGATATTTTACTTCCACACTGTGTCCTTTCCCCCATCCATTCATCATAAAGCTCCAAATACCACCCATGCTCAACTGTTTCCAATGCGATCATATTGTTGTCCATTCCACAACCAAATATATAGAACCCATCCATCATGCTGCTGCTATAAGCAGAACGCAACACTAAAATAAGAATGTAGGATATGCACCGAAATAAGCTTGGACAGCAGTGCTCTTCTCAAAAATGAACCTCTAATTCATATCTTAGTCAATTCAAATTGTAACATTGCACAGAATAAATCCCATTCAGCTTTCTAATAAATACGCATGTGAGATGCCCATATACATTCAAGCATACATTCCTATGGCAACAGATGAAGTTATGGCCTATTCTTAGCTTCACAGTATCACAGAAAACACTCCGTTTCAAGCTATGGAAGTAAATAAGCAATCTCTTTTTCCTCCTTGCTTTCGTACCTGGTATTACTGAAATCTCTTTTAAGTTTGACGAATTGAAGACTGATTCAACTGGAAGCAGCATCCTTCACGTTGCAAACACAATATTTATAGCTTCACGGTGGCTCTTAACACTTGAAACACAGAAGACTGTGCAACATGTATGCATACATAAATGACTAATCAGGTTGTGGCACTTATATCGTATGTTCCCAGTTGCATAAATATTATGGAGGCAGTTATACTTTATCAGGATGAATAAAACATTTTGTGGGATTGAATAATTGATGTGAATGAGATCTATTGAAATATTTCCCTTCATTACTCATTTGCTGGAATTATTCCATATATCTGCCTCCTGTTATAATTTTATACACGTTCCACAGATGTGTTGACCATATATGGCATAAGAAAAGAAAAACCATCTTACGAAAATCCAAAAAATATTTATGGCATTTTGCAAGTTTTGGTTCTTAGAGTTTCACTTAAGTGCCCTTAAAAAAGAGTGTAAGAACTTCAAACGTCAATTATAGAACAAACAGATTCTGAACCACAGAAAGCTCTATTTTTCTTCTGTTGTTAATCTATATAATAACTTGGTGCTATTCATACTTTTTACTGAAAATAGTCAGCATATGCTACAGGATGATTAAAATACATTATACCTGTAGGGTTTTTTTTAATTAACTTATAATTAGAAGAGATGAACCCATGCTTATGAAGCTTCATTTCATTTTAGGCATAAAAGAGAAAGAGATAAATACACATAATGCTGTTGTCATGTAAAATTGCAAAGCAATTGGTACCCTCTTAAGTTTTATAGTTCATAAAATTGTATGGATTAGATCTTATAAGAACTTCCCTCCATAAGCTGTGTTATTATTTTTACCTCCACTTCTAGCTCTGCTGTATATTCATAACTGGTTTGGTTGCTAAACATCCATAGAGACTATATTTAAATTAAGAAAATGATTTCTTCATTAATAAAATAGTTTCTTACACAATTTTTTTTTAAAAAAAATCTGCTTAATTGATTTCTGGATGGGGTGAGAAAGGAGTGTTTGCTGAAGATTTTGTTTTTTAAGGAACAACTCACTGGAGCCAACTAATTACTATTTTTACCCCTCTCACCCACAGAATATTCTGGATCACAGCCCCCAAGTAATAAAAAAATGGTGAAGGGTCTTTTTAAGTAGCCATAGTTTGTACAAAGTAGCAGGTATTTTTTTTATTACCAAAAAGTTATACAAACAATATGAAATAGCAAGACAAAGTTTAAGAAGTTCCCAAATGCTCTAGGTGTATCATTGAGTTCCCACCTCTGCAAAGGTCCTTGTACACTTCAGCTTAAGGTTTGTTTGTTTGTTTTCAAACTCAGTTTTGAGAACCTTGTTCTCCTCTCTCTGTCTTTCTCCTCTTCCTTCCCCCCCCCCCAAACCACCTATGCACAAAATGGACATATCGTTATTACTGATTTGTGTTTTCTCTCTTCCCCTCTCTTGCCTTTTTAAACGCAGCTTCCCCATCTGTTCTTTCTGAAGTTGTGCTTAGTCCCTTCCAGTGTTTTCCTCTTTAAAAGGATTCTCTGCCTGCAGAAAGCCAGGAGCAACGTGACTGAAATCTTTCATTTCTCCACTGGGACTTCAGCGAGGAAGCTGCAATTGATTTGCAGGGGGGCTTTCTGCCTCTGCTTGTATTATCTAGTTAAGGGCCAGCCTACTGTGCAAGGGAAATCAAAGTAGATGGAGTTGAAGTCAAATGGCAGAAAGGAGAGAGATTTATTACAAGTCTGAAAGGTGCAGATCTGGAGGGAGAGGGGCTGGGGTTAGGAAATTCCACCACTAATTAGTTTGAGGCAGTTTCAACTGCCCCCCCCATCTCCATCCCTAACAGATGCTGATGCCCAATTGCCACTAGCTTCCTAGCCTGCCAATCATCGGGTTTAAAGAATTGCTGCCCAATGAAGCCTGGTCACCGTATCGTATTAATGAGAGAGATCTAAGGCAGAGTCAATTAAATCAAATTCCCACCCACCTCCCTAGTCTATCTGCAGTGTGCAGCCACAGCAGCAGTATTGGCACCAAAGGCATCCCCAGTATTAATAAAGGTTTTCAGTGCTGCATTCAAAGCAGGGGGAGGAAGGGGGGAGGCAGCAAGAATTGCTGAGTGAAATTGACATGGTTAAGAACCAGAGAGAAACACACTGCAGCTTTCACACTGGAGTGAAAGCAAAGAGGCTTTTTTCATTTATTTCCCCCCCCCCAACCTTTTTTAAAAATGAAAAGGGTGGGAATCCCACTTGTGTTCAGAAAGTGATAGTGGGGGGGGGGGCGTTTTAAAAAATTGGAATGACTCGAGCTTTGAAAACATTTTCACTTTAATACTGAAAAAATATGCCATTATAAAATCCTCGAATATAATTAATTAAGTCTCGCTTGCTTTCTCCTCAGCTCAGTTTTTTTTTTCTCCCTCCAGTTTTTAAGAGTGTGATTTACAAGAGCACCAAAAAAAAAAAAAATTCTTACTCCCATTCAGCTTTGCAGCTTAAGCACTCAAGTGGCATTAATTGAACATGCTTAACTGCTTGGGATGTCTTTGTTTTTTAAAAAATAGTTTAACACTTTTAATCATCAGAGAAAATGCTGAGGGTATTTTTTTTTTACATTCAGATGGAAAGGCATTATTGGAGATGTTAATTTCCAAAGGAAACTCAAAAATAACCAGAAGCAAACTGGCCCCCTCCTCCCTCCCCCAAACAGAGAGAAAATCCACCCAACAAAGTAATTCAATTTCCTACACCCCCAAACGCAAAACCTGAAACCCATGAGAGTATAGCCATGCAAACATGTCTTAAATAAAATCTTTACATTTTTTCCTTGTTTGTTTCACAGTAAAAGGACGATCTCTACTGCCTAGCAATCACACAAAAATAATGGCAAAATGGCACTTTTTATTCTTATTATACTGTATTTTTTTTTATATAGAAAGTTTGATATGATGGAACTTATCAGGTAAGAGGGAGGACGAGGTGAACTGGACGCTGCTTCCATTGGGGGCTGAAGCGTCCCTGGGTGGTTTGTATCCATGCGAACCATGCAGCAACTTGGGTTTGTTTGTCTGTTTGTTTAGATCAGAGTCATTTATTTACAATACATTCATGCCTTCGTGCAACTGGACACTCTTGCTTTGTTTGCAATGGGGAGGGCGCCAGGGGGAGCCCTCGTCTCCCCAGCACACACATACACACACAGGGCCCATAGATCCACCTGGTCATAGGTCACCTTGCAGGAGAGTGCATTCATATTTACTCTCTCTCTCTCTCTTTAACCCCTAAGTCGAGCCATCCTCTTTGACTGGAACTTTCTATCTTTCTTTCCTTGCCACTGGCTTTGCGGTGCACATTTTTTACACCAAGCACAGCCTCAAGTTGGAGGCTTGGCCAAAGGGGTGGGGGGAAGCAGGCCTCCACTCACAGCATTTCTCCCCAGTTTGGTGAGTGAGTGGGTAGGTGTTTTTTCACCAGAAGGTAGCTTTAAGGTGGGCAAAGCCCCATCCCATGTTGTGGTCCATTCACATCAGCGGACGAGACAGCAATGCACAGATCAGGAAAAGGGAGCTTTGAGCCACCGGAGGGAAGTTGAGGTTGCTAGCTGCTGAACTTGAACTGATTGCCCATAATATGATTTAAAATTTTAATGGTTTTTTTTGTTTTTGTATTTCCCCAGTCTGTCGTCTCAGTCTGATAGGGAGTGAGAGCCACAGTCGTATACTCGATGGGCTCCATCTGCATTGTAGGGTCCATTATGCCAGTAGGAGGAGTCGCAGACTGTCTGTAAGGAGTTGATCTCTGAGGCTGAGGAGTTGGCATCCCTCCTCTTTGAGCGCTTCCGGTTCCTCAAGATAAAGACCAGCATGCCCACCACTGTGAATGCAGAGGTGACGAAGACCAGCAAAAGGCCAGGCACTAGCACTGAGATGGAGACCCTGCTAGTCTCCAGGTAGGAGTTGGAATGTGTCCCAGTCTCAGCCAAGCCAGTGCTGTTCTTATGGGAGGAAGTCAAGGTGGGCAAGACCTTGAGTTGAGGGCAAATGGCCTCATTGGAGAGGGATTCAAAGTCCTCCTTGAAGAATTCTTCTGGAGTCTCACATCTCAAGTCACTCATCATCACCTTGGGTCGCAACATCTCCACCCACTGTTTGAAAGGGACAATGGGGCACTTACAGTCCCATGGGTTGTCATGCAGGTCTATTTGGGTGATGGAGGTGAGCTGGTCCAGCACCCCTGCCACTGGCAGGTAAGGGAAATAGTTGTTGTGGATGCTGAGTTTGGAGAGGGAGACCCCAGCAAAGACATCAACAGGGAGGGACCTCAGAAGGTTGTTATTCAAGATGAGAACCCTCAGCTTGGGCATGGCATTAAATGTCCCTGGCATGATGAGCTGAATGACATTAAATTCCATGTTTAGGTATTCCAGGTTCTGCAATCCATTGAACTTCTCCCGAGAGAGTGTGTCCAAATAGTTATTGTCCATGTAGAGCCACACCAGCTCCAGAAGGTTCTTGAAGGTGTTGTTCTCCATGGTGGCGATGTTGTTGTTGCCCAAATCCAACAGGTTGAGTTTGCGGTAATCCACAAAATGGGATTTTCGAATGGTGTGGATTTTGTTGCCCCTCAAGAAGAGCTCGTGCACGCTGGACGGCTTGGGTTTCAGATCCACCAGGCTGCTGACGTTGCCATCGTTGCAATTCACCTTGAATCCTCCTGGGATCTGGTGGCAGACGCAGGTGGCAGGGCAAGGTGTACTGCTGGAGGACTTGCCTTTCACGTTGATGGTCGAGCCGGCAGCCGTAGGTCTAGTCTTAATCTGCCAGTTCACCGGGATCTTTGTACCCCCGTGAGGAGCAGAGCCCGGGGTGGCAGGGTCTTCCTTGCCATGGATTTTAAAGGGGGTCGGGATGGGCCCGGGATCGCACGTCTCCTCTTCCGCGGGAGGAGCAGCCAGGCTGGAATCCACTCGGTTTTTCCTGCACAGCTCCTGCTCCGTGGTCTCGTTTAGATCCTTGCCCTGCAACCTCGTAGGGGCTTCACAAATCACCCGGCCGATCAGGGCGTTCTTGGGGATGTTCTCCAGCCATTCTTTCAACGAGAGCAGGTCGCACGTGCAGTCCCAAGGGTTATCCTCCAGCAGAATCTCAGCAATGCCCGGGATCTGCTCCAGCACGTCCTCGTAAGGCAAGGTTTTCAGGCGGTTGCCCCGCAGGTCCAGGTGGGTGATGGGCACGTACTGGAACACGTTGGCAGGCAAAACGCTGATGAGGTTGTCGTTTAAAATCAGCACCTCCAGCTTGTTTAAGTCCCGAAAGGCCCCCGGGTCAATATCCCTCAATAAATTAAAATCAGCCTGGAGGTATTCCAGATCGTCCAAGCCCAGGAAGGTCTGCTTGCGAAACGATTTGATCTTGTTGTTGTTGATGTGCAGCCGCTTCACCAGCTGCAGCCCCAGGAAAGCCCCCGGCACGATCTCGTGCAAGCCGTTGTTTTCCATGTGCAAGCTGACTGCATTGTAAAAGTTAGCGAACTCATTGGGGAAAAGGCGAGTGAGGGAATTGCCGTGCAGGAACAAATGGTAGAACTGGGAAGTGGGGGCCGAGAAGCGTTGCAGGCTGGTGAAGCCTTTCTTCTCGCAGTCGACGTGCAAGTCGCCCTCGATCTCGGTGCACAAGCAGATCTTCTCTTTGCAAACGTCCCCTGTAACATTCCCGGCAGCGAAACAAAGAGACGTCTCCAGCAGCAGAATCCAAAGCAGCATTTTTAAACCGAGCGAGTCATCCCCGAGCTGGAGCACACAGAGGAAACGGCAAGGCGGAAATTCTCCCCTCTCACGCCGTCAAGTTCCTTCCAGGCATGGAGTGTCCGAACCGATGCCAAAAAAAAAAGAGGGGGAGGGGGAGGATAGGGGGCAAAAGCCAGAAAAACAGAAAGAGAGAGAGAGAGAGAGAGAAAGTGCTGGGTAGGGAGGAATGAAATGGAGAGGGGAGAGAATCGGAGGATGTGGGGGGCGCTGCCTGGTCTCCTCTTAGCCCTCTCTCCCCCCCAAAACACTGCAACAGCCCGGACTCCAGTCAGCGATCATATCCACAAACTATCCAGGCACGTACTGCGAGGCACAGGAAGGGGGGGAAGTAGAAGACCCCCCTTCATAACCTCCACCCTCAGAGGGGGGCCCCCCGCCCCCGAAAAAGAAGAAAGCGAAGTCGATCTCCGGTCGCCTCGGCGTTAAGGAACGATCTGGCTAGCAATTGGCAGCAGCAGCCGCTGCATAGGCAGGAGGAGCGCGGAGGAGCCGGGAGCGCAGCGGCAGGAGCGGCCCGTGTGCATGGCTTTGGCTTCGGACTGACCTTGCTTTTTTCTCTCGTGCAAAGCCGGCCTCCGGGATCCCTGCTGCTGTTGCTGCCGCCGCCGCTGGATGCCCAGGAGACCCCACTCTGGGTGCTGTCCAGTCCCCCTTGGTGCTGAAATCACGCCCCAGCCTAACGACTGGCTGCCGAACCAATGGCGCTGCAAAAATTCTGCAATCGCTGCGTTTTTGGTCTGTCCATTTCTCCCCCTTACCGCGTTCCCTCGCGTTCTCTCTCTCTCTCTCTCGGCTTCTCCTGTCTTCCCCTGCGCGCTCGCTCTCTCCTCCCCCCTCTCCCGTCTTCCGAGCTGCACAGTTACTCACTCATTCACGCACATAAGGCAGGAGTTGCTAAGAGGTTCTGCTCTTTCCAGCCTGGTGCACTCGGAAAGATCTGACACCCTCTGCTGAGCCGCAGTGGCAAAAATCCATCTGCTGAGGGAATGCTGAAGAAAGAGGGGGCGCAGGGAGACGGGGTGGGGAGAGAGGAGCGGGGAGAGATGTAGAAAGAAAGAAAGAAAGAAAGAAAGAAAGAAAGAAAGAAAGAAAGAAAGAAAGATCAATCCAGGTCCAGGGCAAGCGTCAAAGAAATTCTGGCGTGCGAGCCGTCCATCGCTTCTACGGGCTCCTTCCTAAATGGATTCTTTCATGTCTGCCTTTTAATACTGGAAAGTTGAATATTTCCTGTTTCGCTCTCCATCTGCCCGCCAGGCGGGCGTCACACCTGGATCCGATGTTCTTTCTCTCTGGGAAAGGGCAGGGGAGAGCCAGAGAGAGCCTCCGCTATGCTCCCAGCGTGGCTTGACTCGAATTAGTGTCAGGGTGTCAAGCGACTAGCGATCGGAGGTAATTATGCCGCACGCCATTTTTTCAAGGCATTGCTTCCTCCCTCCCTGCAGCAGAGAGGTTGTCACGCTGCATTTGGCATCTTTGTGGCGTCTTTCCTTCTTTCTTTCTCCGTCACCCTCTTCCTTTCTTTTTTTTGGAGGGGCTGTTGCTGTGGAGCAATATTTCACAGAGATTCCGAGTTCCTTCCTGCACCTTAGGACCCTCTTCCCTTTTGGTCTAGAAGGGAAAGGGGAAAAAATGATTTCCACCCCACAACTGACTTCTATGGAGGTTGCTGCTGCCCCTCTTTGCTCTTAAATTTTTTTTTTTTTTTAAATCACCTTGCTTACCTTATAGAATTCCGCCCGAAGTAGCGTCTTGCCTGTGTGCTGGTGTGAAAATATATATATTTTAAAAAGACTTTAAAAGTGTTGCCGGGGGCTTGTTCAAACCAGGGGTGTTTGCATAATCTGGATAATTCTTTTTTTAAAAAAATACGATGTCCTCAATTAAATAACCAGTTGCATCTCTGGTGATGCATAGAGGAATCCCAGTTCCCGAATCGCTTTGCGCCAAAGGAGACCCGGGGCTGCTGTGCTAACATGCCTTCCCGTCCGCGGCTGGATCCTCTCCCGGGTTTTGCGCATCTGCCGTCCCATAATTGCGTTGGCTCCATTGGTGAACTTTGCATCCAACTGGCAGGACCGGTGCGGTGGCGGCGGTGATGGAGATGCAGAGAATCCGAAAGATGGGGTGGGGAGATGCAGGGTCTGTGAATGAGGAAAGGCTCAGGGAGCCATCAGAATCCTTCCTCCCTGTCGAGCTGAGCCTTTCTGAGCGGTACTTCAAGTCAGACGCCCACCACCCTTTAGCTCACCAGAATGCATTTTCCAATAGGACTGCCTGACACCATTCCAAACTAGAGTCGATGTGGGAGGAAACATGAAATTAGGAACGACAAGGAGACGGGCAAGAGCTCCCCCCTCCCCCAGCCCCCTGCAAATAAGCCGTTCCCCCTCCCCGCCAAAAAATAAAGAAAACCAGGCAATGGAGGGATCACTGCATGTAAATGAGACCATTAAAGCAGCTTTAAATAAAGAGAAGAGAATCTGGCGATGCGGTAAGGCCATCAAGTCGTTTTCTTTCCTCGCCATAATTTATCTGACTTTGTTTCAGCGCTAGATAAGGGTTTGGCTTGGTATGGGTTATTTATTTTATTTTATTTTTGGAGGGGGTGGGAGGGTATATTTACTTTTCCAGAGAGGTTTACCCAAAAGACGCTCTGGGAACCTATGGAATGCTTAGAGGGGTGTAAGATGGGTGGGGTGAGTGGGAAGCCTGAATAAAGAACTTTGAAAGGGGGCAGAAAGGGAGATGGGAACCAAGAGGGCATTAAACATGCACCACACAAACAGAGGCGGGGGGGGGGGGCACCATCATTTGCCTGAGCTAAATCCCTGAGCTATTTGACTTTTCTCTAGCAGTCTTGCTGGGGGGCTTTGCTACAATGCTGAGACCAGGGAAAGAGCATGAGGTTCCATAGAGTCATGGAATCATAGAACTGTAGAGTTGGAAGGGACCCTGATGGTCATCAAGTCCAACCCCCGCAATGCAGGAATCTCAAGTAAAGCATCCATGACAGGTGGCCATCATCAATTTCTTCTTTAAAACCTCCAGTAAAGGAGAGTCCACCACCTTCTGAGGTGGTGTCCATGTCCATGTGAGAGTGAGAGCCAGTGCTGGCCTGCCCACAAAACACACTGAGGTAGCTGCCTCAGATGACATCTCTCCACCCTCAGGCACCCCACCCACTGCATTGGAGAAGGGGTGGTGGTAATGCAGCCAGACAGCAACCTCCTTGCTTCACACTTAGCTAAAGGTAAAGGGACCCCTGACCATTAGGTCCAGTCACGGAAGACTCTGGGGTTGCGGCACTCATCTCCCTTTATTGGCTGAGGGAGCGGGCGTACAGCTTCTGGGTCATGTGGCCAGCATGACTAAGCCACTTCTGGCAAACCAGAGCAGCACATGGAAATGCTGTTTACCTTCCCGCCAGAGCAGTACCTATTTATCTACTTGCACTTTGGCATGCTTTCAAACTGCTAGGTTGGCAGGAGCTGGGACAGAGCAACGGGAGCTCACCCCATTGTGGGGATTCGAACCGCCAATCTTCTGATCAGCAAGTCCTAGGCTCTGTGGTTTAACCCACAGTGCCAACTGCGACCCTTCACACTTACAAAGGAGTAAATCCCATTGAGCTCAGTAGGGGTGGCCCAATCTGTTTTGCCACCAACACCACAGGAGAACTTCAGTGCCACCACTAGCAGACTGGCACAGTGAGAAAAGAAATCTATTGAATCAGGAAAGGGATTTGGCTGTCTTCATTGTAGAATGATGGGCCTTCATTTAGGTGGCTTTAAAAACAGGCAACCTCGGGGAGAACGATCAACAGCAGTTTGCTTTTAGCCATGGTGATCAAAAGAAACCCACCTAAATATATCTACACACACCTGTATAAATCAGAACAAACCTCCATGCATCTGATGAAGTAGACAGGAGTCCACGAAAGGTTATGCAATACTAATGTGTAGTGTACTAGCCTAGGGATGAAAATATTAATAATATTCTGTTTATACTCCAGATATAAACTCCCACAGACATCTGATTGACCAAAACATTGGAAACATAGAGTGATTTTCAGTGTTATACATATATCAATGGAGATCAATAAACAAGTGGATCCTCATCTGTTCCAGCAAATATATTCTTATATCTGCTCTGGTTGAACTGGAAATAGAGGTTGTGATCGAATCCATACTAAGTCGGGCAGAATTATGTCTGAATCCCATAGAAATCAACAGGACAAGTTAGACATGACTTAACTCCCTTTGATTTCAATGGGAGCCTAGTTCAGTTTTCTTAGTCTGGATCCAACCCATTATATGCAGGTGCCAGGTAGTCAGTTTGGAAGAATCCTTAATATATAAAAGGAACCTGCTCAAAATAACCTCAAGAAGGTGATCAAATTTGACCAAGAACGAGCACTGCTTTCCTTCCAAAGTCAGCATTAACTTTGCTGCCAGAATGAATTTCAATGGCTCCATAAAATGCCATTGTTATAACAATTCTAGACTACTGAAAATTAGCAGTTGTGATCAATATACAATATAGTGTTGCACTTTTACTAATTTGACCTTTTTGCTGAGTAAATTCCTTTCCCTGTCTTGACACATTTGACGCTGGAAACCAGAAGGGCAATGAGGCAGCCAACAAGTTATAGAACAGAATATTAAATTGATCAAAGCATTTTCAGCACAGCACCCTTAGTGGGCACGTGGTAGGTAAAAATTCATGCTGCCCTTTTCACACATAAGTATTAATACATTGAGAAAGGATTTCTCAATTTAAAAGCTGCAGTAATGTGACAAAGAACGGCAGACAGGCATAGATCTAGTACTTTTTCCACAGAACACTGGTTTCTTTTTAAAACTTGCATAACACTTTTCTTCCTGGGCTGTTCAGCTGGAGGCAAAGCAAGCAGCTAAGTACAGTCTGGGAAAAGATTTGTTTTTCACTTAAGCAATGTGCATAGCTCATTCTGGTCTAGACAATAGTATGAGGTTTTATGGGCAAGGTAGAACCCTATCTTGCCTTTTAAGGGAGGTGGGGAGGTAGGACAAGGCTTTAGAAGTGGTGGCACCCAGGTTGCAGAATTAAGCACTAGTGGAAATCCAGCCTTCTAGCATGAAATAAGGGCCATCTTTCTAAATCATCAGTCCAAGCCCTGGTCCTCAGTGATGGGGCTGGTGGAGCGATGGAGCCACTTCCACTTCCACAGCTAACCTGCTTGCACTGGCCAGGGCAAAAGGTGAGGGGACAGACTCTATCGGCTCCCAGGCTGACACAGTGCTGAGACCCATATTTGACCCACTGCCATTATGTGATGGCAGCAGAATCAGCACAGCATCCATCTCCACCCCTTCCCAGTCAAGGAAAGCTCCACTTAGGGAATCCTATTGGCTATCAGTGGCAGAAATGTCTTCCATCCGCCCACTATTTGGCTCCCCAATCAACAGCACAGCTGATGAGAGAGGCTCACAGAACTAGGCAAAGTTGAGGGGAGTGACACCTCTGCCTCCTCCCATCCTCCAGATTTGGGAACACCGTAGCTCCTATAGAGGTCTTTAGATAAAGTAACTCGGTCCAACTTCAGGTGGGTAGCTCCAAGGATTGTCACGGGTTTGCTTTTTCCAAAGAAGGTCCACCCACAAAAAAGATACTGTCCTATTGGGGGGAAGATTGTCAGCAGCAGGAATGATAGAGGGGAACATAAAAGCATTATTTAATGTTAATAATATCACTGTGGTTGGATATATTGTTGGGTGAAGTGATCCTGATAATGTCTATGCCAGGGATCAGCAAACTTTTTCAGCAGGGGGACGGTCCACTGTCCTTCAGACCTTGTGGGGGGTCGGACTATATTTTTGGAGAAAATAAGAACAAATTCCTATGCCCCACAAATAACCCAGAGATGCATTTTAAATAAAAGGGCACATTCTACTCATGTAAAAATACGCTGATTCTCAGACCGTCCGCGGGCCAGATTCAGAAGGCGATTGGGCTGGATCCAGCCCCCAGGCCTTAGTTTGCCTGCCCATGGTCTATGCTATCCCTGCAGCTCTCATTAAGCAAAGTCTAGCTCCTCCCCTCAAGCACTTGATTGTATGGTGTTGGGTGAGCACGATCATGTTAGCATCCCTCCACATTCCCTCTGCTCCTCTCCCCACCCTGGTGTTCTCCTAATATGGTGTTGGAGACACTCTGCCTGGCTTTCTGGGAGACTGTTTCAGGGTACAGATCTGTACAAATCTCTGCAAATTGATTCAGGAAATCTAGATCTGTTCTGTAGTCATTTGTAGCTGCTTCGGGATACAAATTGTCCTGATTTGGCCAAATTTGGCGTGCAGCCTTATATAACATATATTATGGAAAGTGGCTCACATTTAGTACTGGTTAGAACACTGACCTTAATTTTAATTAGTTCAAGCTGCAGACAAGGGAAAGAGAGGAAAGGGAGAATAAATGGCCTGGATTGCTGCTTTATTAATCAAGCAGGGGTTTGATCTTATCCACCACTGCAGTTTCAGGAGTTCTCTTCAACTTAGTTCTATTGGGATGGATTCAGATTACTTTTTTCCTCATATTCTAATGTGACCTTTGTACAGGCACTGCGTGAAATTGCTTCTCTCCAGACAGTTCTACTGCATGATGGGTCCCAGTGCCACAATGCTTTTCACAAGATTAAAAAAAGAATTCCAATACCATGAGGACCTATCTGCCAAAGTCACAGTATGATGGGAAAGCAAATGATTTTCTGAATCCACCCTTACCTTCAGCTGGAGAGCTGAGTCAAGCATTGATTCTCTAGTAATCCCTATAAAATGTGTTCAATATAGAAAAGTGCAGTTTCTAATAAAGAGGATCTGTGGTTATTTAGCTTTGCTTCAGAGGCACTGGAGATATGTGGAGGAACTCCCAGGTAATGACTTCATTTAGTAAATATCAGTTAAAACATGGACATCAGTAAGAGTTACATCGGCAGTAATCTTGACATGTACTCATATTGGTAGGGACCCACCACACATAGAATCATAGAATTGTAGAGTTGGATCATCTAGTCCAACCGCCTGCAATGCAGAAATCTCAGCTGAAGCATCCATGACAGATGGCCATCTGACCTCTGCTTAAAACAGGGCAGGGATATGTATTGGAAGAGGCAAAATGTAAAGGGTGTCTAAGTTATCCAGGACTTAGTAAAAGATTTGATAAGACTCTATGAGTAGCACATGTCTTCCTTGTAAAGGTAAAGGGACCCCTGACCATTAGGTCCAGTCATGGATGACTCTGGGGTTGCGGTGCTCATCTCCCTTTACTGGCCAAGGGAGCTGGTGTACAGCTTCCGGGTCATGTGGCCAGCATGACTAAGCCGCTTCTGGCGAACCAGAGCAGTGCACGGAAACGCCGTTTACCTTCCCGCTGGAGCGTTACCTATTTATCTACTTGCACTTTGATGTGCTTTCGAACTGCTAGGTTGGCAGGAGCAGGGACCGAGCAACGGGAGCTCACCCCGTCGCGGGGATTCAAACCGCTGACCTTCTGATTGGCAAGTCCTAGGCTCTGTGGTTTAACCCACAGCGCCACCCACGTCCCTTGTCTTCCTTGTAGGAGACAGCAAATAAATACATCTTTAGTATGTGGCCGATCAGATTGCCTCTGAAAGCAAGAGACCCTCTGGGCTTCTGAGGATCCTTAGGAACAACCCAAAGAGAGGGAGCATCAGGATACCATATACATATACCCCAGGGTACCTGGAGCAGGGCTCAGTAGTATAGCATCTGCTTTGTATTTAATTCCCAGCATCTCTAGGTACAAATGGAAATGCCTCTTCTCTGGAACCCTGGAGAGCTACTGACAGTCCGTGTAGGAAAACTTGAACCAGGTGATCTGACTCAGTATAAGGCAGCTTCCTACCTATATTCCTATGCAGGGCTGTCATATTTCAAACAGTGGAAACCTGGACAGAAAAGTTGTTGAGCTTTTTAGGCAAAGTCACTTTTGAAAATGCCGCTTCCGAGCAATTTTTATGGGAAAACGGCAAATACGACTTCCAACATGGGCTTCCCAGACATTTGCCTTATATGTCTGGGAAAATCCTATGTAAATGTGGAGTATCTCCCTTATACTACCCTTTATTGCAGGAAGAGTATCTGTTAAGTTGTGGGTGAACATATCAGACGACACAGCGATTCTTCAAACAGCTCTTGCTTATTCACAGGCCAGGACAGAACTGAACCAAAGGGTTCTGTCAGCCTGCTTATATAGAGCTGCAGTACAATGTAACTGTAACAATTTCCAAAAACTATCCAATCACTGAACATCACTTTCGATCCCTTATTTGCACAACTATCTACAGTATCCCCCTGCTGGCCCAGGGTGAGAACTTCAGTACATAACAGTATCCGTGCCCACTTTTTCTGCCACCATATGATAGTTCTCTGCCTGCTCAGAATATTAAGAGACTGATAGAAATTCTGCATCCTTAAGTTATAAGGCCTTAAAGAGCATAACCAGAAACAAAACTGGAATAAATAATGGTTAATGTTCTCAGTCACCTGCATTTCAACAATCTGTTGAAGAATTACTAGATGGACAGCTATTTTTGTCACAATTTACACTTTCAAAGGGCACAAAATATGTGTTTAGGTACTCACAGGAAAGAAGTGGCAGGAAATCTATCTATTTATCTATATAAATCTACCTTTATGTCTACACTCACGCAAAAGTGTGACAACTCATGTGTGCAGTGTATGGATTTTAATCATTAGATATGTTATGTATTTCAATATAGGCCCAGACCCCATAAGGCAAGCAGATGCTGTTCTCAGTGCAACAGGGAATGGGAAATTTCATGCTTGACGAAGGGTTTGTTTACTAGTCGTAATTCTTGTTGAGTTTTCAAAAGTAGAAGAGTTTTGTCTTTTTGGTAATCTGATTTGCATCGGAATGTGCAATTTAGATTTTATTATCACTCTATTGAGGTTATGGAAATCAATCCCTTTTGTGGGAAATTAATTTCATATGAATGCATATTTTTAAGTGGGAGAAGCTGAACTGTGAATTAAGGCTATTAAACTGCTCTCGTACAAACGGAATGACAAGGGTGATGTCAAGAATAAGCTTCTGTTGCTAAGACTGTGTATTTCCTCAACTCTCAAACCCAAGCCTGTAGAGATTTACAATTTCCTTCTGTGACCTAGCTGCCATCAGAGAGCTGACAGAAAGCAGAACTAAAGAGCTTATTGCTTAAAATTCACTTTCAAAGGAGAGGTTACTAGCATTCTGTTGCCTGACCAGCCTACATAACAGGGCTGGCTAACCTTTTTTTGGCCCACAGGCTGTATTCACCATTGCTCAATACTCTGAGGATGGTATAGTCAGCCCTTGCCAGAGGCTCCCCTGAATCAAGGGAGAATTGACACCGCTTTGCTCATAAAATAATCAATCTGATGGCCAGGATAGGACAATTAGCATCAATATCAGGCCTTGGGCTAGGCAGAGAGCCTCAGTCCTTTGTGCCTACTTTATTCTTCTCTTTTTGCTGCTGCCACCAAAACCAGTGACCAGAAACACCTCCTTGAGGGAGTGAAAAAGGCCTCTAGGCCAAAGGTGAGTGATCCTTGGAGGAGACAATTGTATAAAGGAATCATCCAGATGGTGGGATTCTGGAAAGCTTTCTGATTTGGACGCTAATATGCCCTGATATGCTGTTGTCTTGAAGAAATTTTTCTGCCACCCCCTGAAATGTATATTTTTTCCTAAAATTTTCATCTCCCACACCCCATATTTCCAAATACCAAAGCCAAATGCTCATGACAACATAAGCTTCAACTGCATGATTAATATCTCTTATTTATTTGGGTTTTTCAGGTGTCAAATGCTAAATCCCACCACAGCTGTTAACACCACAGGTGCTAACATTGCCACAAATACAGGCAGTGTTAAATAATGTTGCATGACGTGTGAAATGCCTGCTGATCCAAAAGATTGTAGCACATCACTTGTCAATCATAAAATGCTCTTAATTATGACTTGTCATCATAAGTTGTCTCAGAAATTGTGGGGCAGGAAAGAAGGAAATGCACAGGGGATCTTCCTTCCTTCCCCATTGATTGTTTGCTTATGAGGCATTCATATTAAAATATATGCCAGTGGAGAAAAGGGGAGGTGATTCCTGTGCTTGTAAACTATTATACAAGGAACTTCATGGGACAAGGAGTGGAAACCTTGAAGTATTTCCTCTCTCCTTCTTTGTTGAAGTAAGAATAGCAAAATCGCAGCTAAGAAGCTCAAGTTATATATATGACAACCTTCTTTGGATATTAAACCAATGTCCAGACTTGAACATTCAAAAACTTTGCTTGCAGAAACTTACAGATGAATTGAAATATAATATTTATAGTCACATGCGTCTCTAAGCATGGGTTTATAGTCTCTTCATCTAACTTCCAAACAACTGTATTTTCCTCTTTCCAGAGCTCAGAGCTCAGCCTTCTGCATCTCAGTTAGGCCATGCCTTGCAGCTCTTATGAGAGATGTCCACTTTTACCTTCTCCTTCAGCTTAGCTTTCTTTCAAGCAGAGAAGCACTCCAACACTCTATTCAATTTAGCAGTGTTCACAGTGGATTCTAGAAGACAGTCATCTTGCTTCACATAAAATGGAGTCTCTCCTTCACTAGATACCTTCCACGTGACCAGCATTAGCCAATCAACATGAGAACTACTAGAGAACTCTCTAGAATTCAGTTACCTGCTAATCAAACGTAAACATATAGTAATGCAAACAAGCATTTATAATTTCAGTGAATTAAAGTACTATGCTTAACATTCTTCTGGTAAGAAATGGGTTTGTTCACAAATAGTCTAAAGGCCACAATCCTGTGCATACCTCCTTGGGCTGTAGCTTAGTGGTGGAGAATCTGCTTTGCATGCAGAAGGTCACAGGTTCAGGCCCTGGTATCTCCAGGCAGGGCTGGAAGGGAACACCGTGTAAAATCCTAGAGAACTGCTGTTAATGTAGACAATGCCAAACAAGATAGAAAATTGGTCTGGCTTGCTTCTTGTGTTCCAATGAGTAAGCCACAATGAACTCAGCAGGACTTGCTTCTGAGTAAACTGACATAGGATTGAGCTGCACAATTTAAAGCCAAGTTATCTTAGTGGTTTACGGCCCACATTTTTTCAGTTGTTCCGACGACTCTTGAAACAGTTTTACATTGATCTTTGCTCTTGATAGTAAGAGACGGCAACCAAAAAAAGTGTCACTGAAATGCAGTTTTAAATAATAGTTTGGAGGAGGTAGATTTAGTACTTGATAGATTTAAAAACAAACAAACCACAGACACATCTATATCATATGAAAGGCAGGAGGATGCAACATATACTATATATTAAATAGTCAGTATGAAGTAAAGCCATTCAAAGTGATAGCCTGCAGTACTCCTGTAGACACACAAATCAAGAGCTTACACAAATGTTCTCCGTATCATAAATGAAGGCAGCATAAACAAGTATAAGCACAGAGATTAAAGATTTATACAACTGCTATATTGTGCCACTATTGGCCAAGCTAAGGCTCCTGTTGAAAAGAAATACTCAAATGATTGTTATGCCACTGAGTAAATAACATTTGCAAAAGGGTCAAAATGAACCAGACATCTCTTCAGACAAAGCCATTTTTTAAATGTAGCTCTCTGGCTCTGAACAACAGGAGAAGAACATTCCAGTCTGTAAATAGGCATGAACTGCTTCCCTCTGTTCTGTTCCTCTATAGCTCTTACTTCTCAGTAACCTTTTATTTCAGTAAGCTTTTAATTTCACTCCATTTGAGTTCTCATAGGTAATCCAGATTTTTGAACAAATGCCAATCCCTCTGCCCCACAAAACAACAAAACGTGTTCTCCCTAGCAGAGAGCACGGGTTGCGGTGGGGGATACAGGCCACCCATTGTTGCTGGGCGGATGTTTGGAGAGACCCAGGCAGTGAATTGGTTAATTGGGTCGCTGGGGAGATTTGCTTGTTGCCAATTTTGAAGGAGCGGTCAGAGGTTTTAAATGCTGGACGCCCAGCTTTGGGCATCCTCTTGGCTGCTTGCACCGGATCACACGCCCACTCTCCCTGTATGGGGGGGGGGGGGTTGTTCGCTTGACCTTGCTATGCCAGTCATGGGATCGTATGCTTTTGAGGCAGGGGCCTGGTACAAATTTTGTCCATCTGGCTGATTGGCTGGTGCCATTTGGTTTTTGCCTACTGCGTAGCAAATCGTCACAACTTGTAAGGTTGGCAGTTAGGCATTGGTTAAAATTGGTTGGTGGAGGGGTAAGTGCCTACCCCTCCAATGGTGGTGCGGAAAGGGAATTCCATTAAAGGAATCCAGGGGCTTGCCATTCTTTCTGTCCTTGTCCCTGGCATCGGACTTGGGCCGTGCAAGCCCCCAGGAGTGTACGGGTGAGAAGTGAGGGACTGATGCCCAGCTTCATTTCTCCCCAACATAGTTTCCCTGACTGGCTTCCACTGGAATCCGGAAGTCAGTTCTGTCTCTGGGCAAGGACAAATAGTCGTAACCAATGCCTAAGCAACCACTCACATGTGTGTATTTAAATAAAGTTGTGGCCAAAATCATGCCAAAAACCTTAAACAAAAATTATGTGTGATGTGTGAGTTATTGGGGGTGGCTTGGGGACCTCGACACGCAACAACAAAAAACCTGGGAGGAGAGGAAAATTTAAAACATCATTCCCATTAAAAAACAAAAAAACAAGCACATGTATTGTGGTTTAAATTGCTGTGATCCACCCCAAGTTCAGGTGTGAAGAGGGGTGGGATATAGAGCCATCAGATAAAAAAGGTACCCAGCCCTGATCTGTACCGTTGTGTCCAGCATCTAGGAGAGGGGAGGGGATATTTAGCAGATGTAGCCGAGTGATGAAATGGGCTTCAGATACTACTCCAAAATGGTATCATCTGGTGTGTGACTGTACCTTCCTACAATAAATATCATAGAGTCTAGCTCCTCCCCTAATATGCAAATTTCACTTGCATGCAGTTAACGTAATTACTCATCACTTTGATCAATCTGTACTGAGTGCACAGATTTCATTTCTCATACAATAAACTTCTGAAAATGCTATTGGAACATAAAAAAGAAATCTAGGTCATACACTGAAAGCTCTTGAGGCTTCACTCCGCAACTCATTTTGAGAGTTGAAAAACTATGATGAGTTGTTTTCTAAGTCACCGTCTCCTTTTAAAATCTATTGCAATTTTGTCTGTAATATTCAGGTGAGAGTCCAAGGTTCTAAGAAAACCTGTTTGTAGTATGTATTAATATGCCTTAGGTCTTACATGTAGTTTACAAACCATATGTCAGCCATGCCATTGCTTTCCTGTTCTAAAAGAAAATGAAACTTTCCTCTTGCTTTTGATGAAATCCTGTGCAGCATCTGACAAGTGGGAAATGATATGGCCCCTTCCTTCTGAAATAGGTTCCTATCTCTAACTCAAAGAGGATTGAATGTTAGGAAAAACACATCTTTCTCCTAACCTCCATGAACCTAGTAACCTTTCTGTAACACAGCAGGAGCAAAAGCTGTTCAACAGTGGAACAGTGGAGGTTGTGAATTCTCCTTCTTTGGCGGTTTTTAAGCAAAGGTAGGATGGCCATCTGTCATGGATGCTTTAGCTGAGATTCCTGCATTGTAGGGGGTTGGACTAGATGACCCTTGCGGTCCCTTCCAACTCTACAATTCTATGATTCTATGCTTCCTTTCTATTTGCATTGAATTGAATGGCCTTTGGATTTAATGAATGGTGTGGAATAATGGAATTATTCTCCACCCCCATCGTTCTGCCCGGACACTGAGGTCCAGTGCCGAGGGCCTTCTGGTGGTTCCCTCGCTGCGAGAAGCCAAGTTACAGGGAACCAGGCAGAGGGCCTTCTTGGTAGTGGCACCCATCCTGTGGAATGCCCTCCCACCAGATGTCAAAGAGAAAAACAACTATCAGACTTTTAGAAGACATCTGAAGGCAGCCCTGTTTAGAGAAGCTTTTAATGTTTGAAGGACTATTGTATTTTAATATTTTGTTGGAAGCAGCCCAGAATGGCTGGGGAAACCCAGCCAGATGGGTGGGGTATAAATAATAAATTATTATTATTATTATTATTATTATTATTATTAATTTAATTATGTACAATTCCATCACAGGGGTTTTGGGGAAGCCAAACTGTAGTGGAAGAGAAACAGTGCTGCATGCAAAGAACACAGATTGGAATAGATATTGATGCCTTCTTATATTCCTACACACAGTCAACACAACCTGACCTGCTTGCTACTTCACCCAAGTGCACCAGACATATGCGACTCTCCAATAAGCTGGAATCAAGTCATGCTGTTTGCATTTAAATACAAAAACTATTTGAGTTTCAGTGTACTGTCTCTAGAATCTAGATCCTCAAAGTGAACAAATGTGGGTTGTTGGGGGGGGGTTTGTTTGGCTAGGGGGGATTTAACAAGAATGTGAGCTGAAATCACTCCAAACTGTCATATTTTATTTTATTTTTTGAAAAACAAGTCAGAATTTCTTGCCAAGGACTTTCTGAAAAAATACTGTGCCTTCTTCTGCAATGTGTTGAGTGGTTTTGTGCCGTTCAGCTTGTCCAATGTCAGAGTGACACTTCAAGCAGGACAACCCAGTCTGTCAAATTAGAAAATGACATCTCCAACTCCCTATTCCTGGCTATTGTAAAGTCTATGCCAGGGTAATATGAGGCTTTATGCCTCAACCGGTGGCTTTCTGGCTAGCCCTCAAATTCCTTCCCAGCTCCTTCTCCCTGTTTTCTCTCTCATTCCTCCCCTACCCCATCTAATCGATTATAATAAATTCTAAAATCTCACTGACAACAGTGAGGGCAGACTTTGGTCTTTAAAATTTCATCAATGCCCTGTGTGAGGCCTCACCTCTCTCCTTCCATTTTGCATGTACATGACGACACAGCTGTGATGCCCTGCAGTGCACCCTCTGCTTGGAGCCCAGTCCGGGGAAACGGGTTACACTTTCCTCAGTCATCCTCTGCTAACAGCTATGTCTCTCCCATCTCCCTGTTGCATGGAGGAGAAATGGCATGTTTCGTCTGGCTACAGGCTTGGCTCCTAGTCATTCCTCACTGACAAGGTGACCAACACCCTCATCCTTCATCCACACAGAAAGGAAGCACAGAGGAAGGACCCACATTGGCTATGCCTGCCCTGATTTTCCCTCCTTTCCTCAGCATTTTCGTATGCTCTCATTGCTCATAAAGTCTTATCCACAACCCTCCAGAGAGGTTTGTTGAGGAGAGAGCCATAGATGGCTGCATGGAGGCGCAGGAGATGGCAAATTTTTCTTATGTGAATTTCCTTAAATGAACATCCAAGCCTGAGAGCTGTTTAGCATATTCAGTCTTGAGAGCCTGGAAAAAGGTTACAATATAGTGAGTGCCTCACCATCTCCTTTGGAGTCAGCTTTGCACGATGATAATTTAAGAACTTATATCTCTGACTTGAGAGCATTATTCACTTAATTGATCTCAAGTTGTGTTGGGGATATTCTGAATGAGCAGATTACAACCATGTTTGGTGAACAGGTTCAGTAATAACATGTTCTCGGCAACAATTGCTTTGATTGATGAAAAAATTGTTAACTGTTATCCTTTGATGACATTTGGAATTAATTCTATGTGTGTGAAAGTTTAGAAAGAATCTAAACAAATAGGCTTACATACTATGAATAGATCTATGAATAGAATAAAGTTTATGAAAGGGGACCTCCTGTGCAACCCTCCTTCCTACAGGCCGCTATGCCCCCTCCAAAACTCTGGGTGATTAAGGACCCCTCAGAAGAGGTTGCACCAGCCAGGGGGCAGTTGCAGTCTGAGAGAGGATCCCCCAAAATCATGGGGTGGAGGCAACTCACATTTGCAAAGCACT